CCCACTGAGCAGAGAGCCTGATGCGGGGCTCGATCCCAGGACCCTGGGACCATGACCTGAGCTGAAGGCAGAGGCTTTAACCCACTGAGCCACCCAGGTGCCCCCATATAATGCTTTTTTTTTTTTTTTTAAAGATTTTATTTATTTATTTGACAGAGATCACAAGTAGGCAGAGAGGCAGGCGGGGTGGGGGGGGAGCAGGCTCCCCACTGAGCAGAGAGCCCAATGCGGGGCTCGATCCCAGGACCCTGGGATCATGACCCGAGCCGAAGGCAAAAAGGCTTTAACACTGAGCCAACCAGGCGCCCCCATATAATGCTTTTTAAGGCTCATCCATATTGTAGTGTTTCTCAGTAGTTCATTCCCATTTATAGCTGCATAATATTCCACTATATTTTTTGCACCATATTTTGTTGATCCGTTCACCAGTTGATGAACATTGGGTTTCTAATTTTTAGCTGTTATGAATAATGCAGCTGTGAACATTATACATTAGTTTTTGTATAGATACGTGTTTTCATTTCTCTTGGGTAGATACCTAGGATTCAAATTGCTGGGTCAGACATGTTTAACATTGTAAGAAGCTGTCACAGTCTAGAAATAAATTCTTATATCTTTCAGCAAGAGTGCAAAGGTAAAACAGTGGGGGAGGAATACGGTTGTATCCCTTCATTGCCGTTTTGCTTTCCATGCTTTCAGTTATTTGTGATTAACTGTGGTATGGAAGCAGATAGTCCTCTTTTGATGTACCAGGTCAGTAGTAGCTTAACATTGGGTCACAGTGCCTGCGTCGTTCACCTTGCTGCATCTCATCCAGACATTTTATCATCTCACAACATCACAAGAGGGGTGACTATAATATAGTAAGATAGTTTGGTAGACCACATTCACACAACTTCTGTTTACAGTATATTCTAATTGAAGTTTCACTACTAGTTATTGTTGTAATCTCTTGCTGTGCCTAATTTAGAAATTAAATTCTATTATAGATGTGTATGAATAGGAAAAAACATAGTATATAGTATATATAGGGTTCAGTAGTATCTATAGTTTCAGGTGTCCACTGGGGAGGGGGATCTTGGAACATATCCCCCACCAGTAAGGGGGAACTACTATAGTCTTTTCAACAAATGCAGCTGGGAAAACTGGATAGCTGTATGTAAAAGAATGAAGTTGGGACCCCTACCTAATACCACATAAAAAAATAAAATGGATTACAGACCTAAACATAAGAGGTAAAATGATAAATCTCCTAGAAGAAGATGTGGGCATAGATTGTTATGAACTTGGATTAGTGAGTGGTTTCTTAGGACTCCAAAGCACAAGTGGCAGAAGAAAAGCAGGTGAAGTGGACTTTAACCGAGTGCCTGGCTGCCTCAGTGAGAGGAGCATATGACTCTTGATCTTGGAGTTGTAAGTTGGAGCCCTACATTGGGTATAGAGATGCCTGAAAAATAAAATCTTCAAAAAAATTGGACTTTATCAATATTAAAATGTTTTGTGCTCCAAGGATATCATCCAGAAAATGACTCTTGGATGGATCTAGAGGGCGTAATGCTAAATGCAATAAATCAGTCAGAGAAAGACAAATACGATATGATTTTACTCATATGTAGAACCTAGGAAACAAACGAACAAAGATAAAAAGAAACAACTCCTTAATTATGGAGAACAAACTGGTGCTTGCCAGAGGAAAGGTGAGTTGGGGGGCTGGGTGAAATGAGTACACTTCCTGTGATGAGCGCTGAGTAATGTATGGAACTGTTGAGTTGTCGTATTGTACACCTGAAACTAATAAAATTGTATGTTAATTATGCTTGAATCAAAAAAACAAAGTGAATCTTACATCTCAATAACTAAAAAAAAACCCAAATAGCTCAATTAAAAAATACATAAATGATTTGAATAGACATTTCTTTTCTTTTCCCCTAAGATTTATTTATTTATCTGAGAGAGAGAGAACACACATGAACAGGAGAGGCAGAGGGAGAGGGAGAGAATCCCAAGCAGACTCTGCAGGGCTTGATCTCACAACCCTGAGATCATGACCCAAGCCATACCAAGAGTTAGATGCTTAACCAACTATACCAGCGAGGCACCCCCCCATTTTTTTTAAAGATTTTATTTATTTATTTGACACAGAGATCACAAGCAAGCAGAGAGACAGGCAGAAAAAGAGGGGGAAGCAGGCTCCCCACTGAGCAGAGAGCCTGATGCAGGGCTTGATCCCAGGACCCTGAGATCATAACCTGAGCCAAAGGCAGAGGCTTAACCCACTGAGCACCCCTTGAATAGACATTTCTTTAAAAAAAAAAAAAAAAAGACTGATAATGAAAATATGCAGAACATCACTAGTCATTAGGGAAATGCAAATCAAAACCACAGTGGGATACATTTCACACCCGCATCTGGTGTAGCTAAGATAAAAAAGATCAGCAAGTTTGGTGACGATCTGGAGAAATTGAAACTCATACATTCTTGGTTGGGATTGTAAAGTGGGGTAAGCTCTTTGCAAAAACAGCTTGGCAGTTCCTCAAAATGTTAGATGTAAGAGTTGCTGTATGACCTAGAAATTCGGTTAGGCATACACCCAGTAGAATTAGAAACATATGCCCACACAAAAACATACATTTAATGTTCATAGCAGCATTATGTAAATAGCCCAAAATGGAAACAATCAGATGTCAGTAGATGAACATACAAACTGTGATATATCCATGCAATGGTATGTTATTTGGCTGCACACAGGTATGAAATTCTGACAAATGCCACAACGTGGATGAACCTTGGAAATACTGTGCTAAGTGAAATAAGCCAGTCATAAAAGGCCACATATTGTCTCATGACATTTATATGATACATCTAGAATAGGCAAATCCACAGAAACAGAAAGTACGTTAGTAATTGTTAGGGGGTGGTGGGATAAGGGAACGGGTATAGGATTTTTGGAGTCATAAAAATACTTTGAAGTTAGATGGTGGTGGTTGTATAACTCAGCGAATGTACTAAAACTCACCGGATTCTGCACATACTTAAAAGGATAAATTATATCTCAATTAAGCTGTTCATAAAAAAAGAAAAGGAAACTATCAAACTCATTTCTAAAGTAGTGCCATTTAACATTCCCTCCAGGAATGAAAGAAATTTCCTTTTTCTCTGCCTCCTCACAAATTCCTGGTATTGTCAGTCTTTTTGATTTAGTGGTTCGGTAGTGCAGTGGCATCTCACAGTGATTTCAGTTTGCATTTCCCTAACGACTAATGAAGATGAGCTTCTTTTCATGTGCATATTACCCATTTGTGTATTTTCTTTGATGAAAAGGTCTATTGAAATCTTTTGCCCATTTAAAATTGAGTTCCTTGTCTTATAATTGTGTTGTTAGAGATTTCTTTCCAAGTCTTAATTTTTTATTATTAGACTCAACAAAGAATAACATTTTAATAAGTATGATCAGAACAAGTAAGATATAAGGGAAATAGAATTAAAACCTTACACGTTGTTCATTGCAAGTATAAACAAAAATAAACAAAAAAACTGAAGTAGCTATTTCCTCCATATTAAATGTTTAAACACAGTTTTGAACACACAGTATGTACCAGTAATTTAAGTTAGCTATAAATACTGTTTTTAATGTGATAAATGAACTTGTTTCTTATGAAACTTACCTAATGTCGATCATAAGTATAATTATGTTATAAGAGATTTTGATCTCTTCTGCATACAGGTCCTTTATTAGATTTGTCATTGGCAAATATTTTCTCCCAGTCTTGGGCTTCTCTTCATTTTCTTAATGGTATCTTTGAAAAGCTGAAGTTTTAAATTTTTTTTCAAGTTTTAAATTTCAATGATGTCCATTTCATCAGTTTTTTTCTTACATGGATCCTGCCTTTGATGACATTTCTAAGAAGTCTTTGTCTAGTCCAGGGTCACAGAGATTTTTTTCTCCTGTTTTCTTCTACAGGTTCTTTTAGTTTTAGGTTCTTAATCTGTTTGGAGTTAGATTTTACATATGGTGAAAGGTAAGTGGCCAATTGTTTCTGTATCATTGGTTGAAAAAAATGATCCTTGGCACCTCTGTTAAAAACCAGTTGTCCACAATTTACGTAGTTTTCTTTCTGAACTCTGTTCTGCTCCATTTATCTAATGTGTCGTCCATACCACACTGACTTGGTTATTATGCATGTGTAAATAACTTTTGAAATCAAGTAATTTAAGTCCTTCAGTGTGCTTTTCTTCAAAATTGTTTTGGCTATTCTTAGGGTTTTGTTTTTTGTTTTTTTTTTTCCATATAAATTGTGAAATGAGCTTGTTGACACCTTCGGAAAATTCTCCTGGGACTTTTTTTTTTTTTTTTAAGATTTTGTTTATTTGTTTGACAGAGATCACGATGCAGAGAGGCTGGTGGGGGGGTGGGTGGGAAGCAGGCTCCCTGGTGAGCAGAGAGCCTGATGCAAGGCTCGATTCAGGACCAAGGCTCGATCCAGGACCCTGAGATCATAACCCCGAGCTAAAGGCAGAGGCTTAACCCACTGAGCCACCCAGGCGCCCCCTCTCCTGGGACTTTGAATTGTAATTGCCTTGAATCTCTTGTCAGTTTGAGAATTGCCATCTTAACAATATTGAATCTTCTGTTCATGAACATATATAAAGGTCCCCATTTATTTAGCTCTGACGTTTTTAAAAATTTGGTGATCTGAAATGATTGCTGTTGACAATTTTATAAAATTTTATACTTGTTCTTTGTGGGTAAAGATCACTAACCTTTTCACGTACTGTAACCAGAAGATATCCTGCAGTGTTTTTAACCTTGTAACAGCCTATGCTTCCAGTGTTTTGATTATGTTTTTCTGTCTTAAAATTTGAAAAAAAATAAAGTCTTGAAAGGCACTAGGTCGGTATGATTTTGTCATATTGTGCTAACTGTGATACTAGTAGAAACTCATTTCTAGTGGAGAAGACATTAATACCATGTAACTTTGGTTTTGTGTTTCTATTCAAAGGTTCTCCAACTCCATTTCTTGAAGAGAAGATGGCCTACGAGGGATATCAGAACATCCAGAACTGGCCAGAAAATACAAACTTTTGCTTTGAACCAGAACAGTTGGTGAATCCTACCCAGACTGGTAAGTGCAGGCTTGCCTGTGACTGCTCAATGTGAGTGATGATGTAATCATGAAAAATTTGTAGCCACCACTCTGGTAAAACTTTTTAGTCTATATATAACTTGCAAAGCACAACCAGAGTATAACTCTTTACCCTGAACATTTAGTTGACCCTTTCTCCTCTCGACCCCTTTTTCTGAGGCACATGCTTGTCCAGGTCCTTCCCTTTTGAAGACTGTTTTGAGTAGGTTAACTGAAATTGATATTCTTTGAAGACTAAATAGTCAGTAGTACTTTAGAACCTTAGTTCTTCCAGGGGCACCTGGGTGGCTCAGTTGGTAAAGCGACTGCGTTCAGCTCAGGTCATGATCCCAGGGTCCTGGGATCGAGCCCCACATCGGGCTCCCTGCTCAGTGGGGAGCCTGCTTCTCCTGCTCCCCCTCCCCTGCTGTTTGTGCTCTGTCAAATAAATAAAAAAGTTAAAAAAAAAAGGAAACTTAATTCTTCCAAAAGGAATTATTACTGTAGTAGTAGCACCGTTTGTTGAATGTGTGTCAGGCATAGGGGCTAGAGCCTTTTTACACATACTTTCTGTGTTTCTTACCTAGCTCTGCAAGTGTCTATTATCCTCATTTGACATAAAGGAGAACTAGGACTCAAACCTAATTTCTACAAAGCCAAATTAATCTGTAGAGACAAAAAACATAATATGTAGTTGCTTCGAGCTGGAAATGGTGGCAGAACTGGATTGCAGTAGGACCTCAGAGGAGTAACATCAGTGCCTGCGTGTCAGGTTGAGAGCTCAGTTTTCTGGTTTGCACTCATAAGTGACTTCTTTTTTACCATCTAACTTACCAGGTGCTCATAGCTGGTTCCAAAAAATCTCGTACTTGATACTCTATAATTTCCCAGTTATTGGCTATTCTCGATACATGGTAATTTTTTAAAACAGCTTTTTTGAGATATAATTCACACACCATACAGTTCACACAAAAATGTGCAATTCAGGGGCGCCTGGGTGGCTCCACCAACCGGTTAAGCATCTGCCTTCAGCTCAGGGTCATGATCTTGGGGTCCTGGGATGGAGCCCCCAGTCTGTCTCCCTGCTCAGCATGAGTCTACTTCTCCCTCTCCCTCCGCTCCTTCCCTCCTCCTTCATGCTCTCTCTCTCTCTCTCTCTCTCTCAAATAAATAAAATCTTTTTTAAAAATGAAATGTACAATTCAGTGGATTTTTAGTATATTCATGTATATATACAGCAGTCGCCAGAATCAATTTTTATTACCTCAGAAACAAACCGGTAGTCTTTAGATAACACTCCCTATCTCTTTATCCAGCCCAGTCCTAAGCACTAATCTACTTTTTGTCTCTCTGTTTACCTATTCTGGACATTTTATGTAAATTAAACCATATGTGGTCTTTTGTGACAGGCTTTTTCACTCAGCAAGTTTTCAAGGATCATGTGTTTTGTGGCACAGAGGAACTCAATCTCTGTATGGATATACTACATCTTCTTTTTCTGTTCATCAGTTGATAAATGTATAGGTTGTTTGAGTGGTGGTGGGGAGTTTGTTTGTTTTTTGTTTTTTTTACTGTTGTCAGTAATGCTGTTTTAAACCTTCATGTACAGGTTTTTTTCCCTTAGGTTTATACCCAGATGGGTACTGCTGATCATTTGATAACTCAGTGTTGAATCATTTGAGGAATTGCCCAAGTATTTTCCAAAGCAACTCTATCATTTTATAGTCCCACCAGTAGTGGATTAGGTTTGTAATTCCTCCACATCCTTGAAAATCCTTGTTTTCCCTTTAGAAAAATTACACCTAACCTAGTTGGTATTGAAGTAGTATCTTGTTATGATTTTCATTTGCATTTTCCTGTTGGCTAATGATGTTGATTATCTTTTCATTTTTTTCATATGTTTATTGGCTATTTTTATATCTTCCTTAGAGAACTGTGTATTCAGATCCTTTGTCCCAGTTTTAATTGGTGTGTCTTTTTTTTGTCCTGGAAGAGTTTTTATATACTGGACCCTTATCAGATGTATATTTACAAATATTTTCTCCCATTTTGTGGATTGTCTTCTAATTTTCTTGGTAGTGTCCTTTAATGCATAAAAGTTTCTGATTTTGAGGAAGTCCAATTTATCTTGTTTTTCTTTTGCTGCTCATGCTTCATGCTTTGGTGTCATAGCTTAGACTCTACTGCCAAATCTGAGGTCATGAACATTTATTCTCATGTTTTTTTCTTTCTTTCTTCTTCTTCTTCTTCTTTTTTTTTTTTTTTAGGATTTTATTTATTTGTTAGAGAGAGAAGAAGCAGGGAGAGTGGCAGGGGGAGGGAGAAGCAGGCTGCCCCTGTGGAAGGAGCCTGATGCAGGACTTGATCTCAGGACCCCAGGATCATGACCTGAGTCAAAGGCAGATGCTTAACCGTCTGAGCCACCCAACTGAGTCCTATCCTTACGTTTTTTTCTAAAAATCTTATAATTTTAGCTCTTGTATTGAGGTCTTTGATCCATTGTAAGTTGATTTTTGTATATGGTTAAGAGGTAGAGAGATTCAAATTCATTATTTTGCATGTTGATATCCAGTTGTCCCAGGTGCATTTTTTTGAAGATTATTCTTTCCCCATTTCATGGTCTTGGCATCCTTGCTGAAATCTGTTGACCATAGATACATAGTTTGTTTTCTTTTTAATCAACTCTTAATTATTTTGCATTGGATCTGTATGTCTGTTCTAATGTCAGTACTATACTGTCATGATTACTGTAGCTTTGTGGTAAGTTTTGCAGTTAGGAAATATGAGTGTTCCTGCTTTGTGGGTTGTTTTTTGTTTATTTATTTAATGATTGTTTTAGCTATTCTGGCTGGGTCTTTTGTGATTCCATATGAATTTTAGAATCTGCTTCTCGGTTTCTCTAAAGAAGTCAGCTAGGATTCTGATAGGAACTGCATTGAATCTGTAGATCAAATTGAGGAGTTTTGCCATCTTTACGATATTAAGTCTTTCAATCCGTAAACATATAATGTTTTTCCATTTATTTATATCTTATTTCTTTGAACAATATTTTTGTAGTTTTCAGAGTGTAAATTTTTATGCTCCCATTTGTAAAGTTTACTCCTAATATTTTATTCTTTTTCATGCTGTGAATGGAATTGTTTTCTTAATTTCATTTGTAGGTTGTTCATTGGGAGGCTATAGATACACAGTTGATTTTCATATATTGATCTTGTATCTTCCAACTTTGCTGAATTCATTAGTTCTTGTAGTTGTTTAGTATATTTCTTAGGAGTTTCACATGTAAGATGTGTCGTTTACAGTTGTAGCTTTAGTTCCTCATTTCCAGTCTTGATCCCTTTTATTTCTTTTTCTTGCCTAATTGTCCTGGCTAGAACCTTCCATACGATTAACTGGAAGTGGTGAGAGCAGATATCCTTCTTTGTTATTTTCCATAGAGGGGAAGGATCCAGTCTGTGGCTGTTAAGTATGGCATCAGTAGAGGGTATTTGGTAGATGTCGTTTGTCAGATGAAGGAAAGTGCCTCCTGTTCCTAATTTGCCAACTACTTGATTTATCATGAAAGGGTGTTGGGTTTTGTCAAGTGTTTCTTCTGCATCTGTTGCAATGATCATGTGATTTTATTTTTTATTCTGCTGATACGTATGTATTACATTGGTTACCAATCTTGCATTCATGGGATAAATCCTGTTTGGTCATAGTGTATAATTTGTGTGATTTTCTGACACATTCGTAAACATATTTGTTGAAGATTTTGGCATCCATATTTAGAAGAGATGCTGATCTGTAGTTTCCTTATGATGTCTTTGTCTAGTTTTGGTATCAGAGTAATATCAGGGTAATACCATTCTAGGATAATACCAACCAGAGAATGAATGACTTTGGAAGTGTTCTCCCTGCTTCAGGTTTTTCTGGAAGACTTAATGAAGAATTAGTTTTAATTCTGCTTTAAATGTTTGGTAGAATTCATCAGCAAAGCCATCTTAGCCAGAGATTTTCTTTGTGAGTAGTTTTAGATTACTAAACTAATTTAAGTCAGGAAGAAGAGGAACCAGCAAGGGTAACGTCAAAGGAATGGCCAGTTCTGAGGTTGGAGAAAACTCAGAAGAGTATAATGTCTTGAAAACGAAGTGTGGTAGTCAACCCCCAAGATGGTTCCAGTGATCCCCAACTCCTGATATTCACACCTGTATGTAGTAACCTCCCACATCATACCAGGCTTGGTCTGTGTGACCAGTAGAATAGATGGGAGAAATAATGGTATGTCATTTCTAAGATTAGGTTATAAAAGACACTGTGGCTTCCATCTTGGTTATTCTTGGTTTACTCATCTCATAGCCAGCTGCTATGGAGAGGCCCATGTAGGGGAGAAACAGAGGCCTCTAATCAATAGCCATGTAAGGAAGCCATTGTGTAGGCAGGTTCTCCAGCCCCTGTCAAGTCTTCTGATGATCACAGCATTGGCCAGTCCCTTGACTACAACCTTGCAAAACACCTTAATCAGTGGAGGTATGGAAAATAGATTCTGGGGGACATTTTAAAGGTCAGATCAGCTGGATTTTCTTATGAATTGGGAATGGCTTATGAAAGAGATAAATCAAGGATAACTCCAATGTTTTTGACCAAAAAACAGAATCCCATTAGAGATGGGAAGATTGTATGAGAGGTGGTTTGGGAAACATGTTACATTTCAGCTTTATTTTATACATTAAGAATTGGCAATTTGATATGAAAGTCAAATCGAATTCCCAGTCAAATTCCCAGTGCCACAGTGAGGTCTAGATGGCTGGAAGTACAAATTTGAGTGTTATTAACTTATAGACAGAATTTTAAACTATGAGATTAGATGAGATCACTAAGGGGGATGTAGATAGAGAAGAGGCCTTCATCCCTTTAACCACTCAGTCCTTCAGTTCTCAGCCTAAATATTTATCAGGTGAAGATCTTCTTTGGCTTGAACTAAAATATCCCTCTGCTAAATGTATTCAGCCTTGACTTTATGCATCTCTGGGTTTTAGAGTGCACAAACTCTGCCATATTAGAGGCACCCAGAAAGAAAGTAATAAATAAATGAGAGAACTTGGTAGAAACCATTCATTTTTACATGCAAGTTGGCAAGTCTCCGATTCTAGTGTGCAAACCCATATAACACCTACTCTCCTTGATGCTTTAGGTATTCTGTTTTGCTTCAGTGGAAGTGTGAGAAGCTGAGCAAGCAGCAGCCTCCCCAGACCAAGCGATACCAGGGAGAATGAATGGTTCTCATCTCTCTCATGGCCCAGCTCCCCTGCTGTTCCAGAGAAGCAGCACTGGGACCTCTTCCACCCCTAGCAGTTTCTCAGTTTGCCTTATACTTGTTCATACTTCCCAATGCCACGGTCTCCCTTGATCAATCATGACATCCCTTACTAGAAGAGGGGATACAGCTACTTCAGGCCACAGGAATGAATATTCTCCCAGGGCCTAGGTTTTTATGCATTTGCCTCTAACAAATGAAGCATTTTAAGGGAATGAGTCACTAGTTATCTATCAAGGAACTACTGAGAAATGCAGATTCTTAGGGTCTAGCAATCAGTGTTTCTTTAAGGCCGCAGGATAATTCAGATGAGTGCTAATTTTGAGAAGGCCTTCTTAGAAGCAGAATTCTTTTTTTTTTCTCTGATGAAGAATTCATTATAGGACTGGCATGTTTTCTGTTACGGGCGGGGAATAAACATACTATTGTCCCCGTTCCTAGTACCTAGAATAAAACCAATGATGATCACAAATTTCCCAGTCTAGAATATCAGTTGTATTCACTGAGAATGAGTTTTAAATTTTTTCTTTTTTCCAGATCCCTTTAAGATGCACCATGATGATGGCCTGGAGGATTTTCTCTTTCTCCCCAGTGGAACAACCAATACTTCAGGATTTGCAGAACAAAATGATCCCCTGCAAGACAATTATGGTATGATGTCGTCAACTGGATTTATTGCTTAACTCCCAACAATTAATGTGGCCTTTTACCCATTACCTTTGAAGTTAACTACTAGGCAAAGTCATGTTTTTTGGCTTTATCTGTAACAAGGCTCTATCTAGATTGGTCTCAGGAGCGAATTCAGCATTTGGGGCGCTCAGGGTCTGCTCACCTCCTCTCGGGGGATCTTGAATACTATATGATAGGGCCAGATTCTGTCTCCATATTTTACTAGCTCATTACCCTGGGCATGTTATATCCACTGTAAACTTTGATTTATCTATAATATGGGTCCAGCACTAGTTCCTACCTTAAAGATGTGGTGAGAATTAAATAACTTTGTAAAAGCACTTCTCATAGCATCTGGTACTTAGTAAAGTATATTTTTTTTAAAAGATTTTATTTATTTATTTGACAGAGAGAGACAGTGAGAGGGGGAGCAGAAGCAGGGGGCTGGGAGAGGGAGAAGCAGGCTCCCGGCCAAGCAAGGAGCCTGATGCGAGGCCTGATGCTGGGGCTCAATCCCGGAATCCTAGGATCATGACCTGAGCTGAAGGCAGATGTATAAAGCTGATTGTAAATATCAAATACTTTTTTTCTCCCTATTACTGAAGCAGTTTCAAGAATCTGTTTGTTTGTGTTTTAATATCAGGTCTGTTTCCCTGTGACACCTTTGCTCCTGCAGCTGTCGTACCTCAGGGGTGGCCTGTGGAAGCCCCAAACTCTCCATACTCGGAATCCTTCATTTTGCCAGAGGCCGTACCACAACCTCTGCAGCCCACAGCAGGTAAGTTACTAGAACCCCTCTTTATCACTTACTGGTTCCAGTATCTTAGTCAATCCAAATCATCAGACTTAATTTTTAGCCGTGTAGAGCAGTACAGGTAAAAATTCCAGAACTATCACAAATACTTGTATCCCTTTAATTATTGATTCCACATCTGAAGGAGTGAAGGTGTGGTTGGAATACAACACTTGGAACGCGGGCAGAGAAAATCCCTTTTCAATTCAGTGCAGATTTAGGACTCAGAGGTTTTTTTCTGGATGTTCCACAGGTTCCCATTCTTAAAATAATTTTGTGCTTGTGTTGTTGTTGCTGTTTTTAAACCTGTGCTTTTTTTCTTTCCTTTTCCTTTCTTCCTCCACTCTTTACTCTCTCGATGCCCTGTTTTTCTCAGTACTGGGACTACCAAAGAGTAGGCACAAGTACATTAATTAGATAGCTTTTTAATTTATGTTTAGGGTTTTATGGTCACAAAATCTAGATACTCCTGTGCTCTCCGAAAGTAAGTTTTGAATGCGGAGCTATGAGCGCATCATGATGGGTCCTAAGTTTCCTACTTATTTCCCATAGAGCTAGCCAAAGAGGTAGAAGTGACATCAGCAGAAGAGAGGGCACCAGCAGAAGCATTAGAAATCATGATGGGACTGAAGACTGCTGACATGGCACCATCTAGAGAAACAGAGACGTCTCCAGCCAAGGACATGGCGCCAGCCACAGAAACAGAGGTGGCCTTGGCTAAAGACATGGAACCATCCACCAAATCAGATGTGACACTGGCTGAGGACGTGGAATCATCTATCAAATCAGATACAGTCAAGGACATGGTACTACCCAGAGAAACAGAAGAAGCCCCAGTTAAGGGTGCTGTATTGTCTGCAGAAACTGATGTATCTTTAGCCAAGGACATGGTACTGCCCACAGAAACAGAGGTAGCCCCAGCCAAGGATGTATTACCATTCAAAGAAACAGAGAGGGCCCCACCTGTAAGCCCTATAAAAATGGATGTGTCCCCAGATGAGGGCATGGTACCACCTACAGACAGAGAGATTGCCCCAGCCAAGGGTGTGGTATCTCTCTCAGAAAGAGAAGTGGCACCGGCTAAGGATATTGTATCATCTACAGAAATGTCCCCAGCCAAGGAGGTGGCCTTATCCCCAGACACAGAGGTGGCCCTGACTGGGGACATGGTGCTGCCTCCAGAAACCAAGGTGATCTTGACCGAGGATGTGGCACTGCTTCCAGAAACAGAGGTGGCCCCGGTCAAGGATATGGCTCCACACCCAGCTACAGAAAAGGCACCACTGAAGGATGTGGCTCCATCCCCAGAACCAGAGTTGGCCCTGGGCAAGGATGTGCTTTCACCTACAGAAACAGAGATGGCCCTGGGCGAGAATGTGGCTGTGCCCCCAGAAACAGAAGTGACCCCGGTCAAGGATGTGCCTCTGCCTCCAGAAACAGAGTTAGCCCTGGCTTCGGATGTGGCTCCACCTCCTGGGACAGAGGTGACTCTGGCCAACAATGTGAGTCCAGCCCAGGCTGCTGCATTGCTCTCAGAAACAGAGGTGGCACAGGCTCCAGTTAAGGATGTGCATGCTGCAGGGACATGGGAAGAAACAGAGGAGTCCCAGTTAAAATCTCTCAAGAATGAGAGGCAGTCAGCTGCATCTACCTTGATCATGTCTCCAGGTATGGATTTATGTTTACTCAGTATTTCTGTCTCCCAGTGTATATTCTCCAGGAAGGTGAGGGACAAACTTTGCAAGTCTACACACCTTGCTGCTCTTCTAAACCATCTTTCTCACCTTCGTCGTCCTCCAGTTTCCAGCATCTTCCTCCTTACTTCTCTGCTGATATGTTTTCCTTATGATAATTCCAACAGTAAAAGGGATCGTCCACAGACTTTGGCCACCTCACCTGCCTACTTGTCTGCTGTATCCCTAGTCTCTGCCTCACTCCCGCTACTGGAAGTGAACCATCCCTGCTCCTAATTAAGGCCAATCTCCCATTTTGCTCCTAGATCCCACCTCCGCTTCCTTACTTAAGGATGCCCTGGCCATTTTTTCCTTTCTTGCCACTCAACAGTTTTTCCCCCTGTCCTTCGAATCATTCTTACCAACCTACATATACTATTTTAACCTTTAAAAACAAAACAAAAAGTTTCCCAACTTCACCTTCCAGCTGCTATTCTATTTCTCTGCTGCCCTCGGAGGAATGTCCCTCATTCCTTCCAAACTGTTCCTGCCTCCAGCTTCTGAAAGGTGGAAAAAGAGCTGAAATAGCACTGCTCTAAAACCTGTGTGGTTTTTACTGTTGCGTTTAGAACCAGTCACAGCCGTGGGGCAGAAGTCCACCTTGCCAGCAGATGAGGATTCTGTGTTAGACAAACAAGAACAAAAGAAACCATTCGGTAGTCAACCTTCTGAACTTCCTTCCGAGACCTCAGGTAAGTGAGGGAAGCACAGCGGACTCTTTGAAACCACTTGAACTAGGAGCAATGGGGTGGTGGTGGTGGACATAGTCCCTGGTTTTGTGGTGGTAATTAGTATTGCTCATGAAGTCCATTCTCTTTCTTAGGCAGATTTTGTCTTGTTTAGGCGGAGAGTCTGCTGTTTACGTATGCTACGTCAGCTCAAGACATCTAAATTTTAACCCACTTCCACTGTTCACTGTTCTATGCTGTGTGATCTTGGGCAGGTTACTTAACTTCCCTGTAGCTCTGTTTATTCAGCTATAAGAGGAATGTATTGTTCAAGTGTACTGTAAACCTTTGCTAGTAAACTCTTGCTAGATACAGTGTGTTTCGTGGCCCAGCAGCATCTGCATTGCTTGGGGGCCTGTTAGAAAGGCATCGTCCTGGATTCTACCTCAAACCTTCATACACATTTTAACAGGTTCTCCGGATAATTGATAATACACTGAGCTTGGAGAGGCACCGCTCCAAGTTACTTTCTAACTCGGAGTTCAGTCATTCAGTGAACTTTAAGATGACATGTTTTTGATGTAAGCCCAGAGCTTATCAACTTAATGATTCTCTGCTTGCTTTTCTGTGACTGATTAGAATGTGAACTTGAGGGCAAGGACCCTGACTTATGGCACTGAGATTTTCTAGTGCTTACATACTGCCTAGCCCCAGGTAGGAGCTAAATAAAGTTTAGTCTTTTTGAACATAGTTTTAGTGACACAACATATCAGTAAAGATTTATCAAGTCCTTACTGTGTACAAAGTTCACCATGTTAAAGCACATAGATATTTAAGTCTGGTCCTTGCCCATGTCTTGTTGTCACATAGCCTGGATAGCAAGGGAAGTTGCCAGGCATAAACTCTGAAACCAAAGATTTATGTAATAATTCAGTAAATAGTATAAAAGATGGCACCAGATAGCTACTGGTTAATTGCCAAATTAAATGTTATAAATGTTGTGGGGGTACTAAAGCCTAGCACTTTTTTGAGAGAAGCAGTAACTGACCCGAGATGTTAAATCAAGAGTAGGGTTTGCAGGACACTGGAGAGTAAAAACAGTAACAAACGGTACTATATAAGTGTTCTAATGTTCTCTAAAGTCATTTCATTGGGTCATACGTGACAAGAGCTGTCCTAGACCTGGTCTTAGTGGGACTTTTCCCAGGATCTTGAATCTGTGCTGCATTGACTTGGAGATAGGAAGGAGGTTGGTGCAGTTGGTTTCCTGAAACTTTTCTAAGGGTGGTTATCCTAATTGTTCTAATTCATTACCCTACTGGGCATTATGTATATTTTTCTGTCTTTTAGGAAGTACATTTAGGAACAGAACATTAAAATCTAACACATTTGTCTTTTCGAAGTAGGAGGCTTTGATTCTGGAACGATGAGGGTTTTTCTTTGGCCAAAATACTAATTCAGTATCTTTTTTTCTTTTCTTCTTCCTTCCCTCCCGCCCCCCAGTAGCATAAGTCTGGCCTCCTGGTCTATTTCCCAGAATTGATCTGGTTAGCCTGACAAGTAATTAGTATAATACTGGTGACAGACTCTTAGAATTATAAATTTTGTCCAAAATCCTAATATATTGCATTCAGTTAATTAACAAATGTCACCAAAAAGAGATAGGAGTTTTTCATCATCTTGTTGCAAAATTGGGAATTACGTACCTATTAAAAATAATGACAAATAAGTATCAGATGAGATTGCTAGGCATTACTTATTACAGAAAGTTAGAAGAACTCTGAATTTTTTTCTTTACCTGAGATGATGATCTTTGTTAATTTGCTAATCCCAGTTAAGGATGAGAAATATTTTGGAAAAAACTATTTTCCTAAATGAATTATTGTGTGGGTTGGTGAAAACAGACTTAACTGAGTCAGTAAATGGACTTTTTTTTTCTTAAAGAAACAATAACAAGGAGTTTTTTTTTTTTTTTTTTGGAATTTTGGCCGACTTCATGTATTACAGGTACCCCTCCCACACAAGGCAAACAAGTGTACAGACCCAGTGACCGCAGGTCCACTCGGCCCAGGCCTGCCAGGGTCCCTCCTGAGCTGCTGGGAGGCTCTTCTCCACGGAAGACTGTCGATACGGGGCTGGGCCCCTGCTCTTTGTCTGAATTGGGTTGGGTCTCTGGTCCGTCTACCTATGGTGAGCCTGGGAACCAAAGGAAAACTACTCATCTTGACTTCCTTGAACCCAAGCGAGATCTTGGCAGGGAGGCCTGGGATATAGAGAGCCCACCAATGATAATGAAGAAAAAAAAGAAGAAACCAAAGCAAAAAAGATATTCTCAGCCCCGGGCTGGGGGACCTTGGGATGACGACAATGCAGACGACCGTAAAGGTCATCCCTTTGTAGCAGACCCACAGAAATCAGGGGTTCTCCCCAGCCTGCCTACCCCTATGGGCATGGAATATGGACTGGCATCCAGAGAAAACTTTAAAAAGGAATGTGAAGTGGAGTCCAGAGCCGCCAGACTGGTAGCAGAAAACTTTGTCTCAGAAAGCCTCAGCGTGCCTTTGTGTCCTTTGGAAGAATCCCTGAAAACTGCAGGAAGTTCTCAGCGCAAGACGGGAATAGACGCGGAAGTCCGTGGTAACAAGGCAGTACCACTGGGCCAGGACCAGAAATGGCTACAGCCAGATGAAGGCAAACCAGAGCCTGCACCCCACCTAAAGAGTCCCGTGGATGAAAACCGGACAATGCGTTCATCTGTTCTGAAAGGACCCCAGACAGAAGTTTCTGCACACAAAATAGAAATTCCTTTGGAGATTAGGCCCAAAGAGGGTTCCTCTCCTGTCTTGTACCAAGAGGCCATGGGTGGGGTTTCAAAACCCATAGCTGCAAAAGAACTGCCTAATCCGGTGCCCACTTTGCCAACAGGTACCTCGTTAAGAATTAGTCCAACAGAAGCGAATGATGAAAGTAAAGTGACTAAATTGCAGAAAGACAGGCAGACAGGAACTGAAGGAACTAAAGAGGTTAAAGGAACTGAAGAGATTAAAGAACTAACAAAGGAAGCTCCTCCCAAGCCAGGTCAGGAGACGAGCATCTTGGCTTCCAAGCAGTTGCAGGATGAGGTGTTAGTTCAGAGGCCTGGGCTGGAGAATCCGCCATCTCAGAGAACAGCAGGGGATGGCAGAAACAGGAAGGCAAGGGCAGGTTCTGGGAAGGTGAGAACCAATTCTGGGAAGGGAAGAGCAAGATCTGAGCCCCCATTTCTTACGGACAGCTGGAAGGATGGCCCAGCTGTTCTCGGGCCAAGTGAGGCGGCCCCTAAAACCGAAAGAATGCCTGCTGGGGAGAAGAGTGAGGAGCTGGGTTCTTCAAAGCAACCAGGGACCACAGTGAGTCTCACAGAGGCTGTGGAGATGGGTGATGTGAGGGGGCCCAGCGCCTCGCACATGTTGATTCCTTTGGGAAGTGAGTCAGGCACGATTCAGACTTCCGGCGCTAGAACAGAAAGGGGGACCTCAGCTGTAGATAGGGGTGTCAGTAACCAGAGCAAGGAAACAGCGTGTCCTTGGATGGGTAGTGAGGCAGCTCCCTGGATTTCTGAAAAGCCTAAAAAAAGGGGTAGTGAGGGCAAAAACAAAAAGTTCAAAAATAATTATTCCACACAGCCTGCTAGAATGGAGAACAAGGAAGAAACCCCCAACCCATCTTCTGTAGGGAAGGATAGAGATGCTGCGAGTACTCCTCATCCAAACAAAGACTTAGGACTCTCTTCCCCCTTAAATCATGATCCCTTGTCCTCACGTCCATCAGCTCTTCCCACAGTGGAAGTAGGTGAACGGAAGGGGAGGAATGATGAGGTTAATTCTTTTGAGCTTGGGGCTCTTGGTGGGAACAAGACAGACATAGTCAAGGATGCCGCTGTTACTGAACCAGCTACCAAGGTGACAGATGTGAGCTGCCAAGACCAAATCCAGGGGGCAGGATTTGTCCCTGCAGTACTGTCTGCAGAGAATAAGACAGATGCAGCCAAGGGACACACTGCCGTGGCTGACAAACCAAATGAAAGGAGCAATGATGGAAAAAGTAAAAAGGTTAAAAATAGTTTTCCCGAGAAGCATCTTCTGGAGAGTACGATAGATGCATCAGAAATACATGTTCCCATGGAAACCACAGGGGACCACAGAACTGAAGGAATGGGCTATGTGGACGAAAATAGAAATATCACATTTACCTGCCCCAGAACGCTCCCAGGGTTGATGAATAAGTCAGCCCCTCCAGAGGCTCTGGAGTCAGCAGCCCGTGAAGGACTGCCCGCTCCTGCTTCTCAAGTAGTAAAGGAAGGTGAATCTTTTCCAAAGCCCTTGGCAGAAAGTGGGCAAGAGACAACTCCAGCCCAGTTGTCCAAATTATTAGTGGTAGATAATTGGAGCAGAGATGGAGTCCCAGCTCAGGAAAGACCCAAGGCCCCCTCTACTGTCACACCTTCTTCAAGCACAGGAGGAGAGGTTGCCCTCACTCTCACAGCAGCTGTAGACACCGTTAATAGCCAGGGAGGTAACAATCTTAAGAATAAAGGTGAGCTTGCTGGTCCCCTGAGGACTGAAACAGGGATAGATGGAGGATCTGTGAAGGGAGGCTCTGAGTCAGTGCCCAGTGCTGCATCTACGCATTTGATAGAAAAAATCACAGAGGTCACAGAGAGACACCTTTCTGGAATGCCAGTAGAAGACCAGAGCCTACAAGGTGAGGGCAGAGTCCTAGAAGCATGTGCAGATAGGAATAATTTTCCAACACACTCAGTTAACAGAAAGAAAGAGTCTGAGGAAGGTTCTGCTCCAGTTTCGATTCCTCCTGACTTACTGGGAGACAAAGCACAAAAGCCCAGTTTCTCTGAGGACCAAAATGCTGACAGTCGAGATTCCAAGGACCCAGACGGTTTGAATAAGGAGGTAGATAGAGCCCTTTTGCCTTCAACAAGTGAAAAAAAGAAAGTGGAAGAAGTTAGCCTGGCTTCTGAAATCACT